GTACTTGTTTCATTAAATTTATTCCAGAGATCAATAACCATGACCAAGTTCGTCTTGGGTAGACCACGTCAATTTCTACGGCATACACGAGACCGTTAGGGATCAAACTCAATTACCACATTTTTACTTCATTTCAAAATCCACTCAATTGTCGTTGATTATTGATCGTCTTTCGAATAAATGGTTCAAAGTTATAAACCTTCAGATACAACAGGGGCACTAGTGTCATTATAACATTTTCAAATCAGTGTCAGGAAATACATTGAAATTAATCGAACAATTGATGCTTCATCTTACCTAAAAATCAGTGGAATTTCTTCGGCGGGTAAGACCTCGTAACGGCAGTCATTCACTGAATGAACTGGTACAGAAAGAGCACTTTGAGCACCTTTTATATTAGAAAACAAGACGTAACCATCTGGATTGAGGGGTTTCATGGAAATCTGCTCCACTGTTCCAAACTTCTGGAAGAATGTCTTCAATTCTTCTTCCGATGGAATTACATCCGACGTCGTTTTTGAGTGCCCTTTTCCCAACCGATGAACACGGATACATGGAGTAATTGCAACCAATTTGGTCGCCCCATCACTCGAGGCTCTAAATGTGGATAAAATTAAGCGGAGGAAATTGTAAATTTTACTTGAATGGTTTATTTTGGCGGCCGCTTGCTTTCACTTATGAACTAACTCGACTTTGTAGCGATAATAAAAAAGCATTTTTCGAATGCAAACAAATAAGGCTATGTTCGTTGTTGCATATTCATCAATGCAGAGGATCGTCAGGATTGGTGAATTACTTTTTATCTGAGGTGGTCGAATGATGATTCACAGATGTAACAGAGACAGATAGGCAGACAAAAAGGCAGAGAAAAGGTAAGATGAATACTGTGGAAGGGGTCGAATATGGCATACATTAGGGTGATGGTAGTTTCAAGTCAGAACTCAACTGTCAGTTATTAGACAGGGTGCACCACATGGAGGTATGTCTATCGCACACCCCACACTCTCTTTAGCCAGGCCTAAAAGTCGGCCACCACCAATCTAACCGCAGATATCGTTCAAGGATGTGTACTTGTCTTCATTCAAACACTCATAAGTACGCATTTAAAGAAATTAACGCAAGAGGATCGTACCCTGAAGCAGAAGGCTCCTGTGAATCTTGAAGAGCAGATTGAGTAATGGCCAATCTTCTGCGTACCCATGCTCCAATTGAGACAGGTTGACCTGATGAGGGAGGAAAATTTGCAGATGCCCTAAATGGAGAAGAAACATATTCGGTCAATATGGATGATTGAAATTATTTACTCACCATCGAAGGGAAAACGAAGCTTCGCCTAATTCGAAGCCAACTTGCACAACTCTAATTGGAACTACAGGGGAGTCACATTAAAAAAAGATACTTGCAAAACTTCAATAACATACATTAGGAGTCAGTTACCAGAGCCTATTTTTTCCTCAATTAAAGACGTGTGGGACATGTCATCTCATGCACTCACGCCAGGATTGGGAGGTGCGGCCGTACAACTCACTGTGCAGACAACCGTAAAAAAAGTGGCAAATCAGAAGCCTCTGTTTGCTCAACCTTATCCGCCAGGCTGATTATGATTAAGCTCCCTGCGTGTACACTTTACCCACACTATAGTTACTGAATAAGCGTGTTCCATGTTATACGGCTGTGGCCTTTATAGCTGGGCTGTATCTTAGCTAATTCTAGGAGAATTCGCCACAGAGTTCTGAGTCAGTAATACGATACAGTCTAAATTGCTGAAACAGGAAGACGCCAATTGCTCTAAATGTACTGGTTATGAATTTCATTCTAACTCATAAATATACTACCACAGTCACAGAAGTAGGAATGATTAATTTGAAGCCACTTAAACTAATTAAACGACTGAAAGTACTCAAAAGGCAGAAGGGATGATGAATAGAAGAGAGGGGGAGAGGGTACCTGGCTAACTATTTCATTCTAACACGCGAACACATTGAAACTGGAATTGAGATTTGCACTCTCCCACCTCTCTGAGCATTTCCGATATTTTTGCTCATTAAAATGTGCTCCACTGCAAGTTCTCTCCACTCTGACCAAAAGCTATGGTAAAACTGAACTGCTTCTTTATGCTCTGGTATGGGAAGATTGGAATATTTGTTAATGCGTTCCAAAAAAAATTACTGGCAGGAATATGATGGATACAGCAGATTATTGGACGATGAGGGGGAACGTCAATTCAAGGCAGCATTTATTATTTATACAAAATGACAATGAAGGAGCTTGTCCACCTTTGCTCTCAAGCGAATCGTACCAGTCCACAGATTATTTATTTATGAATTTCAAATGCCAATCGTTTTGATGGTTATCATTAGTCCTTTAGCTGACACAGAGGGGAAGAACATCAAAGTGAGAGAAATTGGAGATGGGGGACAGAAGAGACAGACAGACACTGAGACAGAGAAAAGGTAAGGTGAGTACTATCGAAGTGGTGGAATAAGACATAGAGTGGGCTCATGGTAGTTAGAAGTCAGAAGCCATCTGCCGGTAAATAGACTTCTTTGACGTATGAGTATACGTTGCCCTGGGTGCACCACGTGGAGGTAAGTCCATCGCGCACTCCGTCCACAGATTATAAAATTGCAGTCAACAATTCGTAAGCCGCCCATCGTCTAGTGGAATCATTGCATTTACCTCCACTAGACATTATGTACTCCCATATTTCTAAATGTAATTCAATCCAATCATCATAGGAAATTCGCCTCTTCAAATTCTGTTTAGCGAAACTTACGATACCCCACTCACTCCTTCTCAAGCAACCCCCACACTCACACAACGGTAAAGACACCCTGTATTCAGTTTTGCTTCAAATACTACCTATCGATCAGACTTAAAAGTGAGTACCATCAATCTGAACGAATATATAATCAAAGAATATTAGGGATAATTTGATTGTCTTTACTCAAACACTCATTCAAACTTACAATTTCATTCCATAGGGAAGGACGAGGCATTCAAATGCATCAACCAAGGTCATTTGCATGAGGATAAACAAATCGCTTCCTCCTTCCGCCCATTTAACAAATATGAACATATGACCAACACCATAGCCAATATCGCCTTGGTCTTGAGTTGGACTTAAATACCATCACGATTCTCTCAAAAAGTCAAACCAAATGCCAATCATAGGTTAGTAACTCACATTTCATTTGACGGGAGTTCAATAGCAGGTATCGACTCATCGGATTCAAATGGTGATGGAACGTATGGGCCTGACAAATTAAAAGATGGTGTAGGCGTTATATTTCGCGATAATGAGGAGGTGAGAGAACTCTCAGATGAGCTTGCCACCTCCTTCTTAGACACCTTAAAGTCCTTCTGGTACTTGTTCACAAAGTTCTGAACGTTTAAAGGAAGATTGTAGGAAGTTCGTGAGTAACCATTCCTGATTTCCGACGCCGTATTTGAAAGGCGCTTCGACAGGCCACCATTTCGCTTAAGACAAGCCACATCATCAGAGTTAGCATACCACGATAACACAGTGACTAATGGTCATTTTTATTCAATAACCTTACTTCACTCAAAGTAAACAGCTCTGTAATCTTCGTCAATTTGGTGGACGTTTCCGGAGACTGATCATTGAATAAAATTTCCAATGACTCGAGACAAATCTCAGCACGCAAAAGAGCTCCTTCTATTGTTTCTTGAAGGCGTTCTATAGCATCATTCGCATTCTCCCACTTCATCTCTCCTCGTCGGTCCACGTAATTCTTGTACCTCAACTGCAGATCTAACAGACGACTAAATAAGACCGATGAGTACTAGAAAAGTAGGAAACACAATAGTCGAGAAAGCGATTCTGTGTTGAATGAAATAACTACTAAAGTTGATCCCCACCATAGTTTGGTGTGAAGTAGCACATTCATGGCACAAATAGCGATCACAGTGTTTGCAGAGCTCACAAACATTACAATTTAAACGTTGGCAATTTGGGCAGGAAGATATTTCAACATACTCATTTTTCAGCTTAAAATCGCGAACCTCCTTTCCAATTTTCTCTTCGACCTTTATGTCGTCTATTGGAGAGGCAAAACCGCAAGAACTGCAGTGGATGCTTGCTCCGTCAGTTTGAAAGGACAAAATACAAGGCGAAAGACAAAAGACGTGCCCACAGTCCAAAGAGTGTGGATTGGTGTAGCTAAAATACAATGAATAAAACATTTTTTGCGCGGCATATCAAATTTTACATTCGAGTCATTATAACGCACATATTACTGCAATATTCACATGTTATTTGGCCAAAATTACTCCAAGACGCAGAAATCATGCCTGGAAATTACAGAGTTCTGCAATAAACACTCAAAAATTTGTGTGGACCAATAAGTTATGTACAATAAAGTTATATTCAAATGTTATATAATACAACACTTCAAAATAACCAAAATCTAAATCTTTGGAAAAGAGCTTAATATGTTAGTGCAGGCCACAAATTACCACAGGCAAATCTCGTTCACAAATCCGCCAAATCACTAACTCTCAAGGTGAAATTTAAAGATAAATGCCCACTTGACCAAAATTTGTTTTTTCGATTTTGTTCAAACAGTATGTTATGCTGTGGCAAACATAAGATAGAGAACATACTAGTATAATGTTTTTATCTAAACGTCTAAAATCCTCGAATGTATTTTTAAAATTAAATCAGCACATGCTCATGATAAGAAAGCGGAATAATCTCGTTAAAATGATTGTCAGATGAAAACATTAAATCGGAATTCGATACAGAGTTACATTGAAAGT